GTTGCAGTCAGAGACACCGCCAGAAATCTTTTGTGGCAAACCCAGTTAAAACCCAGAAAACACCTTTGTCGGTCTCCAACAATCGAGCCATTCTGCCCAACGATATTAATGGTCTTTATTAACCCAAGGCCCCCTTTTACATGTTATGCATGACCAGTGCTGTTGGCGGAAGAGGGTGAAAAAGTAAAGTTTTGTCTGAAGTAAATACTTTGCAGGGTGCCTTTGATACCATTAAAAAAGGATACCATGTAAACTTGAACACGTTATTTCAAAGGGAGCCGGCATCTTTGTGTCAGTGTTGCATGCAATAGCCTTGTTTTGTAATGAGCGGTGACTTTGATGTGTGATCTCTTTGGCAGTGCGGCAAGCTTTGAAGCTCATACATGTCGGCACGACCAAAAAGCAGTTCCGATGGCCAATAAATTAACACATTCAAAAGAGCAGTGCATGAGTTTTTTTATACTTTTGAAGTGTTGTTGTGAATTTTGGTGTCTTTGTTCAAGTGCGACAATTGCTGAGAAAATTTACCCTTGTGTTATATCTGTTTTCATGTTCAATAATTCAGTGGTACAGATCTTTAGTTTTGAATTAATTCTGTTTCTTCATATAAAGTGCCTACATCCAAGAGCAAGTTTGTTCAAGTAACAATTGGTCAGCCACTTGTTGATTCTTGGTGCACCTTGCCATGCATGCAGTAAAGTACATGTATAAAGTGATAGTTGTTGGTAGATATGAAGTGATTGAATTGAGTCATAGATATGGAGTCAATACAAACAAATTAAATCAATTCGGGTCAGATTGTAACCATGTCATCTTTTAGTCTATGGGCTCTGTGCACGGGACACATCACGTGGGCGCGAATTGAGCAAATTATGCACAAAGTTTAATGTGAATGAAGCTACAGCGTTTACGCGTGAGCATCAGGCATCATTGGCAACGCGTTTGAGTGTCTCCCAGTCATCTCAGTGGCGCACCCAGGATTTGGTTTGGTGGGGGGCTCAAATTTTTTTTTTCAAAAAATATTGCCCAAAATTTTTGGCCGCAGAAAAAAATTGGAGTTTTTTGACGACAATAAACCAATGAACAGCCTTTGTGTTTTGTTTCTCAGGAAGATTGCACTATGCATGGCATTATATATCAGACGTTAGGAGTGGGTTTCACTGCAAAAAAAGGATGATATTAAAGCTGTTTGCAGTCGGTCACAATGGTCATGCAACTGAAAAATCTTCCACGCGGTTTATAGTTGTCGCTGACATCACTACAGAATTCAAATAATTGAATTTTGACAGGGTTGATGACCTCATTTTCATTATTAAACCAATAGGACTGCCTGATCTGTAAAAAGTAATGACCGCGTTTTTGTAAAGCAATTTACGGGCATTTTACTATTTGGCAGCCTGATAACAGAATCAAAAATTTATGGAAAACATATTTTTCAAAATTTTCTTGTCATTAATTCATGAAAGCAAATTTCTACCTGATGCTGAAAGGGCAAAACATCAGAAATCAACATTAAACATCTGTTATTTATTTATTTATTTATTTATTTATTTATGTAATATTTTCAATGTATTTACTTTTATTTTTAGGGTATAGGACATTGATAAAATTAAACATCAAACAACAACTGCCACAGCCAGAAACAAAAGAGGAATGTTTGGTTCAGCAGTAGCAATGCGTGATCTTAATATTTTACAGTTGAATTGTGTGCATGTAGTGCGTATGATGCACGTATGTTAACAACTATCGAGAGACGACTATAAACTGTAAAAAAAAAAAGGGCTTAGCGGCCAACAACCATCACTGTCGGATGGTCATCATCGCGTGACCGAATTTAAACCGGCCTTCAGGCTAGCAATCTCTGTGAATACTTCCATTTTTTTGGCAAAATTATTCCATCCAATTAACATATCCCCTTCAAGTGTCAACACAGAAATATCTGCCCTTCTGGCCAGTGAAGTTGCCAGAGACTATCCAGCATCCTCCCATGCCATTGCGGTCAAGCTTATTCCCCAAGACCCCAAAGCCAAGGTCTTAGTTTGTACAACACATCGTCTAAAGCATAGGAAGTATTGCATATTTAATTGAAATTTAAATTGATGGTTCATCGTCATGCTCAAGGTCTCTGTTACTGGCAACAAAATCGTGCCCCTGATAGTTGATGGTTGCCTCTGACAATATTCCATCACCCCAGTGCCAGCGCCAATGAAATTACACAGATACTATTATTTTGGCTTAATGACAGAGGTTGCATCCAGAAGAGCACAGAGTTAATTGTGGATTAAGGTGGCGACGTCCTTTTAATTAATTGTGGATGATATTAATGTTAAAATGGGTTAAAATCTTCCTACTAATTTCAGTCTCCTAACAGTAAGTTCCATATCAAAGGGATAAGGACTGAACTTTGTGTCATTTTAATAGGCACCAAAAAGTAGGTCAGTTAAATTATACCATGTTCACACTCAGCAGTGGATAGGTACTGCAGCCTTCCATAAATCCTCTCTTTATAGTGTAGGCTTTTATTACATTGTCATCCCTGATAATGTTGAATTTTTTTTAAAGACTGTAACATCTGTTTCAAAAACACAATGTTAATTACAAAATAATACTATTTGTAGTGAGATAACTTTTTGATGCAGAATTGTGTTTTGTGTGAACTAACTGATGGCAAGCTTTTTATGAGGATCGCAGTTTTGTCGAACAAGTTCAAATGATCATGTCCTTTTGAGTGTAACTTTTCTTTTTCTTTTATCCTTATTAAATCCAAACAATAACTACCCAATTTTTCTATGTTCTAATTTCAAGTCAGGGGTTTAAATAGCTGCTAATTAACCCTCCTATACAAACATGCATTCTGTGCAAAGTTGTCCTTTCAGTCAAAATCAGTCAAGTGACTATTTTAACAGTTGAGTGCTCCCTGCCTACATAAAGCAGGATTGATTGGCTGTGACTGTTCATGTTTCTTGATACTGTAGGGGATTAATAAGCCAGCTGTGCCAACCACTTGCCTGCTTTTTTCTGTTGACTGAATTTGACAAGTCACAGTGCTTACTGGAAATATGATCGGACTGTTGATGACTAGCCTGTGTAAAAGGCATGGCAGGGGAACAGGATTGATTTTTTTACTGTCTGTGAATGTTTAGACAGCAGGAGGGTTGCATATTCTCAATTTTATCCCGAAACATCCGGTCATCAAACAGAAACAAAAAGGGTTTATTTTTCGTGAATTTTTTATATCACTTTACAAATGGATAGAATAGTTTGGTTCAGTTCACCCGAGATCTTACAAAGCGGCTACAATACAATACGATATAAAAAAGTGACCTTCGTATTACTGCCATAATTCAATGTCAGTGTGGCTTTAATTAATTAAAACCATTTGAAGCATAGGGGTTGCTAGCGTGCACTCCATGTAGGATATGGTAGTGCTCTATCTTACGAAATTCCAAAGAGGTAAGCATTGGGGAAAAAGGGTTGTCTACTTGGCTTGATGGTTGCCGTCACTCCGAAGGCAAATGCCAAAATATCTCATTTGCATCGTTTCATTTGTTAATCATGAAGGTAAAATACAATGGCAGTTTATGGTGGGAATAGCAGTATTGGTGTCGGTAGCAGCACAGCTCAGCAGCACTGCTTGTATGGTTAGTAACCTGCAGACTTAACCTGGTCTAGGTACCAGGGTGCAGTGTAATAACAAACCTAAGGTGCCAGTCCAAGGCGCCATCTTGTCTGTCTGCATAACAGCGGGCAAACATACTAATGGTCTCAATGCCAATTAGCCCGCTCACCTGTGACCATAGCAGGCAAGGTGAAATATACCGACACGTGCCACCTTGATGTAGCCACACGCCAACATGCCCCATCACCGCGGCTGTAATTGCCCATTGTCTTTATGAGGCTGTTCCTTTCCCCGGCAATATTACTCCCGTAATGTCTCTGCCTGACGGGGGAGGAAAAGCATTTATGCCTAATTGGTCTCTCACGTCTAGATGATCAGGACATGTCACAAATCACATGCCAAATGTGCCTCTCCTCAGAGTCTCAAATTCTGGAAAGGGCGGTAGTCAGTCTGTGTTCCAATGCACTGTTTCTAGAAGTCCGGAGAAATAGGTTACTGTTGCATTACAGCAAAATCAAATTTCCAAATGGTCTCTGAATATTGCGACAAACATGTATTATTCCAAAAGGAAAAAAAATGATTTTAGAAACTTGAGGCTCAACTTTTTGAGTTCAAGTGATAGTTTTGCTGTGTGTCAGCATCATCATCATCATCATCAGCCTGTATCGTCCCACTGCTGGGCAAAGGCCTTTCCATATCACGCCATTTCTCTCTGTCCCTGGTATGTCTCGTGCAGGCTGTTGTCCCTGTTTCCACCACCAGGTCGTCTCTCCATCTAGACCAAGGTCTCCCTCTCTTCCGTTTAGTGGTTGCCATTCTGTTGTAAGTCATCTCCATCTTTCATCCTCTTTTCTTGCCAGGTGTCCTGCCCATCTCAATTTATTTCTTTTTGCTGTTATCATCTCATCATTTACCTTTGTCAGGTCTCTGATCCATCCAGTTGTGTTCTGATCCCTCCTACTGTAACCAGTCAGCATCCTTTCCATACTTCTTTGAGAAGTATGAAGTTTGCTCTCCATTTCTTTGCTTAGAGTCCAAGTTTCACTTCCATATGTCATTGTTGGCAAAACTCTTAGGACATGCAGACATTTGGACATATACTCTTGGACTAGTTCATGAACTAGAGAGAGAAACTGGCTTGATTTTTATCTCCAAACCTCATGCTGGTTACACAGTACACATTTCATATTAATTTGTTTTTGACAATAACTCCACATTTGTCGTCATCTTCGTCGTTGTCGCCGCCTTCGTCGTCATCGTTGTCGTCTTTTGTTGTTGACTAACTTTTGTTTTTCCTTTTTTTTTGTCTCTTTTTTTTTCTTAAAAATGTTTTAGATATTTTAAATACATAAATGTATTTTCATTCTGTAATTTTCTTCAGATTTTGCTCTGAATGCTCACTGGAGTGAAAAAGATCAGTGCTGCTACCAGCCAATCATGTGTGCCGTATGTCAGACCAGGAGGAATGTAACCCCTGCTGTGATTGGCTACAAGTTGGTTGCCATTGGACAGCACCATGACAACAGCGTTTCCCCAGGCCAAGTATGTGGGACTGTTCATTATTTGTATAGCATCAATATCATCTGATCTTCCTGGGTTTATTTTCTATGCCGACTGACCACTTCCATTCATTTCATGACCAGGTCTGGCTCTTTCCAAAAGACGTTACCCACTGCCGACGTTTCACTACAAAGAATGAAAGTGATTGTGAACTTCAGAAGTAGCCACCTTCACCTGTCCAAAGTCCAGGTAAATCCCAGGGACGTTCTCTTTAGCTCAGCCCAAGACAATGCCTGACCAGAACTTACAGCAAGGCTCCTAAAACTGTAGGTTTTGGCCTAAGGATGGAAGCAGTATATACTTGTAGGAACATTTCAGACTCTTAATTCCTGTTTAGAAAAATGGGAAAAGTCAACATTTTTGATGAGTTCAAAGTTTCCATCCAAATGTGGGAGTCATTTCATCTCTGTTCCAGTTTCCACGTGAAGCTCCTTGAGGGTCAGGATTATCTGTCGCCATTGTGAGTGTGGGGAATTGTTCATGGCATTTTGCTCAGCTGTGCCAAAGCTAACTTGTAATCTAGTCGATCACAAGTCAGGTTGCGATCGCGAGTAACAGGGATTGAACCACGACAAAGGAATGTCATTGTTACATCTCATTTGAATGGCTTGTGACTTGCCTGGAGACATAAGGATTTGTGATTGACTGGTCATGGACTTTTGGTGATTTGTGACAATTTTCATTACAACGCTATGCCAAAGTTGTCACCAGCCCTTTATCCATGAAACATGTATTCTTTATTGGACTGATTAGCGTTGCAAAGGGTGACGGTATATGTTTGCTTGCACATGGGTAGTTTGTGTAGTGCAAATTGTCCTACAGTGCAGCCCAACTTACACCTTCTCTGCATATTTCCAGTCTTGTATTCTTACTTGTATGAAGAATGTTTCCACCCAGTAGTGACCTGTCGCCACAACATCAGCATAAAGTAGGACTTTTTCAGAATTGAGATATTTGTATATCTGGTTTCTGCAGAACAAGTGTTTTTGTAAATTAGGTAGGTTTGAAAGTGTCCTTAATTATTTGTACTACCGGTAGGTATGTTTAACTCAAAGGAATATCGCGTGAACGTAGGTCCCTTTTTGATAATTCGGATGTTGATCAAATGTTTTGGAAAATCTGTAAACTGATTTAGAATTGTTTTCATTCAATGTTTAAATGTGTAAATGTCACATTTTTATCTATAACATTTGGGAGTAGTAAGTTCAAAAGAATCAAAGTTGAAGGATATCTGGATTCTGCAGAACAAGATTTTTCTAATGGTATATGACATTTGAGTTTTCAAGAAAATTACATTGAAAGTGAGTTGAAGTAAAAGTAAGTTTTGAGAAAATGGCATTTAAAAGTCCTGCTGTTACAGTGAATGAACAGTCAACAAATAAAACAGAATGAAAATAGGTTTTTAAAGATACTTGATAGAACACCAACAAAAAATTGGGCAAAGGTAGAATTACAATAATTGTATACGAGTGATGCGTAAAAGATACTCATCAATAGGGGGAAGGTTGCAGTTACACAATGTAAAACGAACGCTCTTTTGTGCGTTTGTGTGGTTCTGAGACGACACGGTTGGAAACTCAACATTTGCTCTGTCTATCGTCAAGAACGGAATGTCCAAATTCCAAAAGGGAAGAGTTTTTGCCAGATCTCAGGTCCACACAGACTCATAAAGGACATTTCTTTCACATGGTTCAACTGCAAACTCAGTTTTACTCTCTTAATTTCAAAGAATGAATATATGCACTCTGTTCAAGTAACATTTACTTGAACTGAAACTGAGGAGTGGAGGATTTAGAGTAAAATTGAATCTAGATTTAGTTTCCTCTGCAGCAATACTTGATGAGTTTTTTACTGTAATTCCTTTGGTCCCTGGTTTTCACTTGAAGTAAGAGAGTAGTAGTGGACGCAACAGGACACACAGCATGTGCGTACTTTACTGTAGTGGACTTCCTGAATATGCCAAAGCTATTTATAGCCACAGCTTCTTCGTGTGAGCATCAAGCGTCGTCAGTACGTGAATACATTCAAATTTAACTTGCGATGGTCTCCCAGACTAATCCACGCCCCAACAACTTTGAAACATTCGAAATACGCAGTGGATGGACCGGGAACCAGTCTAGGTCCCCCCCCCAACTCTCCTTATCTGGCCGTTGAAGGGGTGCTTGTGTGCACGGAGCCCATAGCTGACTTCACCATGCAAACCTTTTGATCCTATCTGATACCATGGTCATATTGGCTTTGCTAAATACGTCTTAGTATTTTGTTATTTTTTTTTACTGCCAAAAATTTGATGTTCATCATCAAATTGTGAATATCAGCAGAAGTTTTGAAATCTACTCTCCTTAAAAGCCTTGTTGATTGCCTCACCTATTTCCTCGCACAACCACAGTTTTTAAATTTAAATGCTTGTTATGCCAGCTTGACTGAACCAAGTTTATTACAGCACAGCAGTATTTGTCTCATTACAGCAGTTGATATGGCTAGCACAGCCAGAATAAGTAGCCATTATAATGGCATACGTTTTCCTCCTGTATCAAAATTGCTGTTTACTGCCTTCTAAATCGCTCTTGTGGGAAACAAAAACATAAACTCTAGTGGTGCTTGTAAGAGATGGTTCATATGGATTGGTTTTAGATCTCCTTGTCAATTTTTTTTTATTACTGCCACAGAACGTATGGTTTTGCAAAGCCAACATCGTTTTAACAAAGGGTCATAAAATACACCCTTAGCCTGTTAGGCAATTCAGCATCATCAGTGCATATCATGATATTCAAATGTCGGAAATTTGTGTCCGTTTATATGCTTGTTTTTTTCTTTTTCTTGATGTAAAATTACTTAACAAAATTGCATAACAAATGAAGTAACTTTAATTTTAAAATTAATATTTGGTACAAGATATCAGTAGGCCTTTTTTTATGGGGCAACAAAACCGTCGTCCCCACCAGGCTCCCATAAGAAAGCACACACGTAAACAAAGTGTGACATCATCAGTATCATCAGGCTTATTGTGGTACCTGTTGCCATATCAGATTTAAACTGTCTAGTCAATGTAGGCAAGTTCAGTTGTTGAGTGGTAAGATTTCTGCGCTAGTAAGCAGGTTGTTGGTTCAAGTCCAACCCAAGTAAACATTGTTGTTCTTCTTACAAGCTCCTGAACAGGTTTGAGTGTACAGTGCTTATCAAATTAAAATCACACGTGTGAGGGCAAAACCTGGCGTTTGCAGTCGGGCAACACCGCAGGTCCACTGTTACCTCCAATTGAGATTTGCGTTTTACCCAAATGTGTATTTCCATGGGAATCAACTGTTTATTAGACATGAAAAGGTCCACTTTATGGTAAAAACGACCCTCCCCTTCCACCAAGCTTGCTACTGCCCTGCCAGCTCACATCTCCTGATGCGAAATTCAAAAATAGGAGCAAAAACTCAAATTGTTCAGTGGTACTTCAAATAATTTCTTAAGTTTTTCTTTCATGAAACAGTGGTTTCATTTTTTTTTTTAGAATTAGAACTGTAGGTATTCAAATTCTAAACCATTGTCAAAATCACAATTGGAACATAACTTTCAGTGCCAACTTTAATCAAATAGTTATAGTAGTTATAATTGTGATCTTCATGACAATCAAAATACTATCCTTGTTATTTCCTGTTTTGATGATGCCTGATGTGTGACTTACCACCCACTATCCAACTATCTTATCCAACTTCTTTCTTGCTGTCGCTTTTGCATCAGAGGGCCTTAAAAATTCAGTGCTCTTGTGATAATATAGTGTGTATTAATGAGAGAAGCAACAAACGAATAACAACCCATACCCATCTCTACTGTAAGTAGCTGAGTACGCATACTGCCCATATCATATCATATCATGTCAATCCCACATGTAAGTTCAAAAGTGCTCACTTGCTCCCCCCCCCCCCCCCGAACCCCCTCCAAATAAAATGTCAGGTCAGGAAGGTGTCCTCAGTACCAGAAATGTAGCATGTCAGCATGTACAAACATTAAAGTATGGAGATTATGGTTGCGAGATCATGGGGTATATCTGTAATTTTGATGTGAATTTAACACTAGCATATTTTATGCCAGTGTCCCTATGGACTGTATATAATAATGGGACACGCCCCTTGTTTTGCAAGTGCACTTCATCAGCAATTCAAATGTTTGTATTTGCTAAGGCACATGAGTTTTTGAACCTCAGATTAAGCTCAATTTGCACATAATCTGAAGAGGAAAAAAACAAATTCTGGAAACTTTTGTTACTGAAGCAGTTGTTAATCTTCAGCAAGGTGGCGTCACGGTTTTGCTCATCAGTAGACCATGGAATTTGCATCAGCATTAAAAAAAAAAGCCTAAAAACTTGCAATAGGCCTACAAATATTAAAATAAAGTTTAATGGGACACATGCCACTAGTACATCATTATAATGTTGCATGGATCTTTATTGCCTTATTCTTCTTTATGATCCTGCTCCTTTGTATATTAATGTTCTTTCTACCAGCACATTCGCCTATTTGTTTCATCGATTCACATGCTAATTTTGTCAGCAATAAGCACTCAGTGTAACACTTTTTGGGAAGTTCAAGGTCAGTTTACAAGAGCATTAATTTTGGAGCTTTGTTGTAGATATGTTTCATGACCAGTGGTACAAGATTTGGTATATAATGAAACATACCCTTCTTTGTAAGGGTTCAAAAGAAATCTGCATGCCTGTTTGTTCTACTTTGCAAAATCTTTTTTTTTGTGTTAACAGGCCAATCTGTTAGCTAAAGAAAAAGATGTTTTTGTGTTGTCTGAGAATTTATTTTCCATCAACTGAGCATCCAAACTTTGTCCTTAAGTTAAAAATCTGCAATTCCACCCCCCCCCCCAAAAAAAAATTCCAAACAGAAAATACCCTCAGTCTGTTCCCGTGACTCTAGACCAGCTACTTGTACCCGCTTTCGCCAACCACAAGAATGTTTTATGGGACCAATGGTATTCACAAATGCCCAGTGAATCACTGACGAAGTAATCTTGTTGCAAATGAAACAACATACACAAAGCATAAACAATACAATCACACCGTTACGTTGTAAGATCAAATCAAACTCATCTGTGTTGCCATATAAATACCACATATTGCACTAAATCTTAGGTTCTTGTGTGTTCGGCCTTTCCGAGTTCAAATGAACTGTAGGCTACCAATGGATTGGTTGGAGTGGTTACATTGTCATGGCGATATTCATTCAAATTAACTGATTAATATGGATGTGAAGATCAACAGATGTTTGTAAATGTTCTATGGTCAAGGTTAGTAGACCTCAAGAGAGCTAGACCCGGATCCGCATCTAACGCCATCTGTCATTGGTGGTTTATGTACACAAATGTTGCTCGTACTCTCGATATACCAAGTCGGACATCGCCAAGTTTGTCTAATGGATTTTTACCTACGAAAATTGATCCTATTCTGTTTGTTTGCCATTTTCCCTCGATTTTTAAAACATATTTTATCCTTGAGGCAGATTGATCCACCAATAATGTTGGTTGTTTCTGAACATCTTGAATGACGTCTACGTCGAATGCAACGGTGCACATACTACGGTCGTTAAGAATGGTTAGCGCCCTCAGTCGACAAACTCACAAAGAATTGTATTATTCTTCGGCTGCTTCTTGCATGAGAATCGAACAGAGAATGCACGTAACACACACACTGTGTGTTTTAGATGATAATGCAATCATCTATCAGTTTTGATTGTGACCAATAAAATGACATTTTCCCCCAACTGTACTTCTCTTTAGTGTGCATGAAACGATGGATTTCGGGTCGGATCATTCGTCTCTTCATTGATAGATAGGCCCTACATAATTATACTCGCTTCTTGAACACTTCACGGTTTTCCTTTGACTATTCTCTTTTTTTGTATCGATTTTGGTATTTCAGGCACAAAGACTAAATTTCAACCCTACAACGGGTCCCAAAACACTGATTTAATTTCACGAACAACATTTTAGTCATTCAACTACTAGAAATTAAGACAGTTTTAAAGGCTCTACCCTTTATGAGTCTTCTCCATCTATGGTGGTTTGGATGATGAATAGTCCGTGGTTCTTCCGCCGGTCACCGTGCGGCTTTGGTAGATGCTACCGTGTGTGAAGCCGACTAGACGGCAAGCGGTCAAAGTGGCGGCGGTCGTTTCTGCGCTTCCGTTGGGAGAACAAATAGGCATTTTTTTTGTACCAAAGAAACTTGAAAGAGGCCTCCGCCCGTGTTCACGAGTTTTAGGCATGGATGGTGGATATTATTATGTGTATTTGGGTTACTCCTGCCCAAACTTATTTGCGTATATAGGTCAGATAAACTTCGTATAAACGTTCGTCGCACAACAAAATTGCTTGCCTTTCTGTGATGTTGTGGTATTGATAATTTATCAATGAGTCTGCAATGTGTAAAATGAAATGCGGCATATGGTTTTTTTATCGAGACCTCTTCTATTGAGTAGAAGAAAACATAATACATTGACATTGTGTACAGTTGTTATTTTGGTTCCATCAAAGTCCCCCTCTCTTGAAGCCAGTTTATGTGCCCTCAAGGTATCCCAAACTGGAAAACAAGCCCTGTTAAACCCCTCTCCTGATTTGTACAAAATAACTCTCTTCACTCCAACTGTACCGCTCCATGTTGTCATTTTCCCAACCGAATGGGGCGACCGGCGCTTTGCGCCATTCACACCCGAACAAAATTAATGGGGACGTTTTCACCCCATTTCCCCATTACGAAGTCCGGTCCGTGGCGGTGTGAGGCGAACATCAAAGGATGCCGCTATTGCAAGGGTGCCTTTTCTATATTCGGCGATTGCTTTGTTCCTTTGATGTTGTCCCCTTTGTTGAAGATAATGAGATCTCCTTTTGGTCTCGGCACCGTCAGAGAAAGTGTGGGTCTACTTTGTCACCCTCTTCTTGTCATTTTGCAGGCCCCGGTTCGCTTGCACCCCATACGCCGTGAAATTGATCGCAATTTTTAGGTGCCGTTAGCACTATTCACCTCTTGTTCATTTTGTTTACAGTGATCCCAATTTAGCAAGTTTTACCCATAAATACCACCATATAATGACCTCTGCATTGTGAAGGCTATCGGTTTGTCAGAATCTCTAAACTTGCGTCTGTAATGGTGCGAAATTAAAACCAATTTCTATGGGAAGATGTCCCATTCAAATTGCACTTTTATTTGTATATACCGAATCGGCCTACCGCTGGCGGCATTGTCTATCTAGCAGTTAATGGCTCACGCATTCATCCCTATACATGATAATCCTGAAATGTTATACCTACGGCGTATTTTGCAAAACTGAAGCAACAAGCCGTAGGGTCGACTGTCACACAAAAACCATGTTTGTCAGAATTCGCCAGTTTTCTTAATTTCCAAGGTTGTCGAAGCTATGTTTTCAAAACAACTGAGTTACTTCAATTATTATCTTCTATAGGGAACAAAATGTTGAATCGGGAGGTCGCTTTGTAAGTCTGACGAAAGTCAAATGGTTTGGTTTAATTTTGTGATATTTGTTTCACTGTTATATAGGGCCTAGACGCATGTTGTAGAAAGTAAATTCTTAACAATTCACATTAGCTTTTCAAAGACAACTTGCTGGTTGCGGGAAACTGGGGTTGGTCATATGGCTTTATATATAGCTCTCCTGCCTGATGCTTGTAAACGTAGCTATTCGTAATCATCATTCTACAGTACATGTATAGTCTGTAGCTCATGGGACCACATAAGCCATCCCTCCACCGTGGGAGTACACAGGATGCCATACCTGTGTCAATTTCTCCTGATTGAATGATGTGATCACGTGATGGATATCACAACAACATGTGACCTCATCACGTTTAATTCCCTGTCCGTCTTCTAGCAAACCCAATTTACCCAAATCTGGAGCATGAAGCCAATAATCCTAATTTGGTCTCACTCACCGGCATTCTACGGTAATCAAGAGAGGGAAAATCATCTTTTTTTGATTCGCAATCGGCGGCCCAAGAGATGCACCGGCCCAATTTAAATTGAATAAACGCGCCAATTCCTAACTCGATTGTTGTCTTGCCAATTTTATTTGGCGCCAATTTTTTTTCGGGGTGCGCTTTTTTATCGCTTGGCACTGCAGACGACGTCGTACCAAATTGCACATCCCGCCTGGTTCCTCCGTCCAGCTTGGGCTTTCAGTGAAAATCAATGGGTAATTGGCGCAAGAAACTGCAGTTTGACAAGCCGACGTGCCACGGGAGGCTCAGCTGCGGCCGCCGCGGACGGAACACGCTGTAAACACGGGGAGTGACGGCCGGCTGCGGGTTGGGGCTCAGGGTCGTACGATCTCAAGAACGTATCTACTGTCTCCATCCGACGGAAAACGGGGGGGGGGGGGGGAATGACTGAATGAAGGCATAAATCTCCCAGTTATACTCCTGGTGCTTATTTCACCGATATGCAGAACAGAACGTGTTGCTCAGCAGTTGTTTAACAGATGAGACGTTTTACTTATTAAGCAAAAAACTAGAGAGGAGTATACATGTACATTACGTCACTATGGCTGGCCACTTGTTTCCGACAGGCAATTTCTGTGCTCAGTAAATCTGTGTTGTGACTAGGCCTACAAAACTTTCAAGACTTTGTTCTCATTGTTTCATTTGTCTCATGGTGCTGCTTAACATACGACAAGTTCCCCCCACAAAAGAGCAACTCATTATTGCCAACAGCATGGTTTTAAAATCAGGATGCAGCACGGAAATTTCACTTTTGCTCGTAGATGGACAATGACGTAAGAAAGGCCCATTTTAGTTATGCTTGTGTCGAAAGCTATGTGATATTAGTTGGTTTCATCATTGATGATTCTTCGTTTGAAAGTGAAAGGAATCGGCGTTTCTCGCACATTTTGTATTGTGTCATTTTCTGTTCTTATTTTTGAAAGGGAAATGCTACTTAATGCCGTTCAACCAAGTCTTGAACTGTTGTGGTTCATCAGACACATCAAATTTAAATTCGGATTTAGTGCTTTGTGGTGGAAATGTTTCAACTGTTGAAACGATTCCCCATCGAAATGCCAACGAGGTCTGTACTGCAGTCACTCTCTTATCCATTTATGCGGTTAGTTTCTCTACCTTTGATCTTCTAATTTTCTTCGGATTTCATCCTTTTTAGTTGTCCCCCAGTCTTAAAAATACTTATCTTTTGTAAGTTTCAGGCGTTCTTGGCTCATCTCTTAATTAAATAAATAAAACAATTAGGCCAAATGAATGTCGATTGAGTACAATTCGAATATTTTTATTTTAATTAATTTTTTTTGCAAACCAGAATTTATCCAGCCTATTTATCACTGGACCTGTCTGTAGCTGTCTGTGATTCACTCCTCACACTGTCGTTGCCCGAAACGTGTCCGTTGCTGCTCTCATC